GGGGGGGGGAAGAAGAGAAAAGAAGGAAAGGAGGAAGGGAAGGGGGCAAGAAAAAGGGAAGGAAGGAAATAGTAAAAGGAGGGATAGGAAGAGAAGAGAAAGACAGGAAAGGAAGAAGGAAAAGAAAAAGGGAAGGAAGGAAAGAGAAAAGGAAAGAAAGGGAGAGAAGAAAAAAGGAGGGAGGGAGGGAGGGAGGGGGGAAAGAAAGAGGGAAGGAAGGAAGAAAAGATAAAAAGAAGGGAAAGGAAGGGGTGCATTGGGTTAAACCCTTGCGCTGGCAGGACTGGTTGCCAACAGGTCGGAGGTTCAAATCCGAGGAGAGCGCAGGTGAGCTCCCTCTGTCAGCTCCAGCTCCCCATGCGGGGACATGAGAGGAGCCTCCCACAAGGATGGTAAAACATCAGAAAACATCCAGGTGACGTCCCCTGGGCAACATCCTTGCAGACGGCCAGTTCTCTCACACCAGAAGCGACTTGCAGTTTCTCGAGTTGCTCCTGACACGAAATAATAATAATAATAATAATAACAATAATAATAATAATAATAGCTATGATTGATGCCTAGCCCTGTTGTTATTATTATTATTATTGCACGCACGCGAGTATTGAAATCCCGCTCTGCCCTTGTTTTGGGGCAGCCCCTTGCAGGTGGGCCGGGGGTGGCCCTGGACGTCCCTTCGGAAGAGACCCCCGGAGCCTCGGCCTCGGAGCCCAGCCCGGTCCCGGCCCCTCCGCAAGACAAGGACTCCCACACCCATCATGCTGAGGAGGGCTCTGGGGCCGCCCCCCCGCCGGGAGCCCCCCTCTTCCACAGAGCAGGTGAGGGGCCCCCCTCTTCCTCTTCCTCTTCCTCTTCGCCTGGGTTGGAAGCCCCCCTCTTTGAGGCCACCCCATTTCCCGCTTCCGCTTTGCAGGTCCTCCCGTGGCGGAAGACGTGGAAGGCCTGCGGAGGCGGAAGGGACGCGAGGGGCCCGAGGTGGCTGTTCCTGCCGCAGGAGGGGGCCGGGCCCCAGGTGCCCGAGAGGATAGCGGGCAGGCCATCTGGCTGTGCGGATTCCTGGCTCTGCTGGGACTCGGCCTCCTGGTCGCCCTGGGTGAGTGCTTTCCGCAAGGGAAGGAGGGAGGGAGGGAGGGAGGGAGGACATCTCTCGGGAGGGCTTGCGTGGTGTCCTCCAGCCTGGCATGAATACGGTGGGACTGGGGGGCCTTCTTTGGGGTCCCTCCCAAGGGTCAGATTCTCTGTCTGTCCATCTCTCTGTGTTTCTATTTATGCATCCACCTATACATCTATCTATCTATGCATTTATATATGTCTGCATATATGCATCTATCTGTAATAATAATAATAATAATAATAATAATAGTAATAATCCAGCATATAGATCTCATTTGCTGTGTCAAACTGTGCTTTTGTGTCAATAATAATAATAATAATAATAATAATAGTAATAATAATAATTCAGCATATAGATCTCATTTAATAGTAATAATAATAATAGTAATAATAATAATTCAACATATAGATCTCATTTAATAGTAATAATAATAATAGTAGTAATAGTAATAATAATCCATCATATAGATCTCATTTGCTGTGTCAAACTGTGCTTTTGTCTCAATAATAATAATAATAATAGTAATAATAATAATAATTTATTTATATTCCGCCCTTCTCACCCCGAAGGGGACTCAGGGTGGATCACAGCACACATAACATGGCAAATATTCAATGCCGCTTTGTATACACAATACACCGACAGACAGAACAGCTGTTTTTGGTGCCATGGAAGGCTGGGCTCGGGTCCAGAGGGTGTTGTTGCTCTATCCTCCATGACAAAGAGCCATCAGGACTTCCTCCTTCCTTTTGGTTGCCCAGCATTTTCTGATCTTCTTTCTTTATGGCATCGTAAATCCACCTCCCCAGCTTTCTAACAGGACCTAATTTCTCTAATCACAGCTCAAGCTGTTTTCAAATTGCTTAGGTAAACAGTGAGCTAGGCTGACAGTTGGCAGCTCATGCCAACCTGGGGCTTCGAACTGCAACCTTTTGGTTGATAGATCTTACAATTGCTGATGATTTACTAGTTGTGCTAAACCTCCTGTATCTGTCTATGCATTTATCTATCTATTCATCTATCTATCTATCTATCTATCTATCTATCTATCTATCTATCTATCTATCTATGCATCTGTATTTGCATCTATCTGTCTATCTATCTGTCTATCTATCTATCTATCTATCTATCTATCTATCTATCTATCTATCTATGCATTATGGCAGAAGGAGGTTGGACTGAATGGCCCTCTCTGGGCTCTCTTCCAACTCTAGCATTCTGTCTATCTATGCATCTGTCTGTCTATCTATCTATCTATCTATCTATCTATCTATCTATCTATCTATCTGTACATCCATCTATCTTTGCACCTATCTATTTATCTATCTATGCATCTATCTATGCATCTATCTATCTATCTATCTATCTATCTATCATCTATCTATC